CTAAAAAAAAGAGCAGATTGCGAAGTTAAGCATTCAAATGTTAGGAACAGCCAGAATTCAGGCTGACCTGTTGTTCGTGTGTGTGCGTGCATGCGTGCATTGTTGTGACAGGTTTGGGGGACCTGCCCCCATCATTTGACACCCCTTAATGGTCCGACTCGCCTACCTGCACTCCCTGGCCTCCCTCACCTCCTACCTCTCACCTGGTGTGACTTGATCTTAAGGTACATAACTGGGGTGGCTGCCTCAAGAGACCAGGGTAGACTCTTCCTGGGTACCTTTCCTTTTTTGTACAGCACTCAGGACTTCTCTGCCCCCAGATTCCAAACTGGGTCTCCTCTGCCACAGACTCCACTGTGTTTCTCTTTTAAGATGACCCTGTCTTAAACCAATACTGAGCCTCTCAGGCCCCCCCAAATCCTTGTCTGAGCTTCCGCCTTCCCGGCTTTGATGCCCTTTTCCTTTGGCTGAGCCCCCTCAGCCCAGGGTCACTGCCTCAGACCCTGGGCTCCTGGCCTCAGCCCCTTCTTGCTCTGTGTAGTGGCCCCTAGGGCCCCGATCCTGGGAAGGCTGTTCTTGCTTACTGTCCCACCCCCTGGAATCCCCAATCCTGGGAAGCCAGATCTTGCTTTGCATCACCCTGGGGTCCCTGACCCTTATAGCACTCTATATTGAGTGCTCCTTAAACATCCCTTTGGCTTCTACACCTCCCTTATAGCCACAACTCTGGTCTTCTGGTGCTTAAACTTACACACGCACGCAAAGTTTTAACCCTCTTGTTGCAACTCATTCCAAGCCCTGTCAGTTGCCCCTGTCCTCCCAGAGCTGACTTGATCCCCCACCTCCCAGAGTACCTCCTCTTCCATAGCAGCCAGCTCTGCCCTTACCTCTTTCTCCTACAACCTGCAGATATAGACTGCCAGCTCCAACTCAGAGCTGGACTTATATACAGAAGGGCTGTGCGAAATTTCGACAGCTGTTTCATTTCAACACTGTTTCAACTCATTTCAAGCTCAAAACAGCGAAATCAAAATGAAACAAAAGGCTTTGAAACAGCTTTGAAACAAAGGCACTTGAAACGTTACGAAAGATTTCGAGTTTCGAAGCTGGGCTTGCTTGCAGGGAAACAAAAAGTAAGGAGAGGGAGGGGGAAGAGAGGGGAAGTACTGCCCTCATATTGACATGTGTAGCTGGTCAGTGACTGATCCTTCCCTGAGCTCTCTTCCAAACCCAGTACTCTGGGGGAGATATGGAAAAACAGCATAAAATATGTTGTTTGAACTGAGCTTTCGGTGTGCTTTCACACATGCAAGTGACACAAGTCTTGCTGAACAGTTTCATAGTTTCATAGTTTCTAGGGTCGGAAGG